CCTGGCTTGCATTAATATTGAAACTTAAATTATTAGATCATGTATATTATCTTAAGATTAAAAACAAATAAATTTATGTAGCGTATACTGGTTAAGGCATAGCATAAATAGTGTAGCAGTCAATAGGTTAACAAATATAAATTATTTAATTATAAGATATAGTTTAAGACATTAATTCATGATTTTAATTCTAATATAATTTAATATTCTATAAAACCAAAAGAAAATATGAACATATTACGTATTGACTTGCATATATCTTATTGTGTAGGTCATTCCAAAAATTTGGGTTCTATACTGAGAATGTTACCAATTTACTATGACGCTATCATTTTGAGGTTGGGAGTGTAAAATATTACTGCAATCTCATAATACTTTTTAGATTCTKAAAGTAACAATGAAGGTATAGTATTTACTATTTACAACAATGTGCTTTTCAAATTTTTTATGGTGTATGTTTGTAAATGTGTTTGAGCAGGTGACTAGTGTTGACCATGAAAAAGTATAATTATAAATTGACAATTACACCATTATGGGCACCACGTCAGAGTATGTTCAAGTTTTAACGATTAGTATAGCACATTGAATGTTTAATATTGTATGCATTATTTACTGATTTTACGATTATTGATGATAAAGATAACATAATATAAATTATATAAATAAACCAAYATTGGTTGATAGTTACTCGACGATGTCGCCAGGTGCAATTATTGATATTTGTAATTTCAGCTAACGACTTATCATAATTATATAAATAACTTATTACTTCCTATGTCAACTGAATTTAGCAGCCACAAGACATATACATGTATCAATGCATTTGCATGCAGTATGGATACTCTTTGTTTATTTAGATGTACTTATAAACCTACCAACTGTGATAGATGTAAGCTTTATTTTTGTAGATAGTAATAATATTTAAATTAAAATTGCTCTCTTACTTCAAACACATTAATTAATTGATAAAGCTGCTGTTGTTCTAAACGAAGCTGTTGTGTGGCATATTCTATTTCTTTTTTTTGAAACATAAAGTTATCATCCCGAGAATGAAGATGTGCAGCCACCATTTGTTCTACATCTGCAACTTTATCAACCATTTCCTTATTCTTTTTTTCTAGTTTTCTTAAGTGTTCTTTGTACATAGTAGCTTCTTGGTTATTGTTATTTTGGTGGTATCTGAAAATTAAAATTTGTAAATATAATTCTTTATAATATAATAAATTATTATGTACTATTACTTTTTTAATAACATTTTTAAAGTATTTTTTTGTCCTTCGTTTAGATTGAATGAGCACAATATGTCATCGACACTTACAAGCCAACTGTTTAATCTATGTTCATAAGTATCACTATCTACATTGTTAGATTTGTTTATTTTCTTACAGTTTTGATTGAATTTAACTTCATTGCATTGACTGTAATAAAGGAAATGATTAATATATTGTTATATGCAGTGGATATTTTTTACTTATTGTAAATATGAATATAATTTAACTATCTGAACAAAGTGAAGAGGATTTGCATTTTTAATTTTTGATGAGGTTTTAACCATTTTAAATTTTCAATAATTATAAGTACATTTACAATGTTATTAAATTAAAATTGTTTTTATAAGTATCAGACAATGATTGTCCAGAATTAATACCTAAATTAATAATTTACCTAACTATAATAATATATATTTTTATAATTATTGTAACCAAGGTATTCTAATAGGTTAAGATAACTCTATTAAATTAATAATTATTATACTATTAAGATAGTTTAATAAAACACCTGAGATTATTTGTTATAGTAGTGATCGATCTGAATAAGCAGGCCAATAATGAATGAACTTGTTTTTCATTAAAATAGTATTGGCACGCCAATTCTGAGATAGCAGAATTTGGTTGAATGCCTAATGCTTCTAGAATATCCTGAACATCATTTAATTTAAAACTAGGCTTGGTGACTGGAATTTTTTGAGTGCTTTCACCCAAACTATTTACATAGGAAGAGAATTCATGTAAATTGCACAATAACGGTACCTAGACAAAAATAGTACTTTTAGATGAGATGTAACAATTATATTCAATGCAAATATTATACGCAAATAAGTAATATCACAAACATGTATAAATTTAAACCTACTTCTGTGATGAACACAGACAATGTAAACAAATTTTCTTGTTTCATCAGAAAATCAGCAACTAAGAGGTTGATGGCTTGAATTTTTGGGGAAGTGATATTTCTCTTGTTAATGTTCCACATAGGGCTGTCTTCTAGAGCAGATATCATCTGTTCTTTTATATGTGCTCGCAGCTTGTTAATGATTCCTTTATCTTCAAACCTTTAGGCGTAGAAATAAAATGAAAAACAAACATCAAAACCAATCACATAGGTAATAAGTAGCGATTTAGTAATAACAAATAACAATGTCATACCACGAGTAAAATTTACTTTGAATGTCAGAAATTTCGGCTCTGGTATTGTGTAAAGGTAAAAAATTGTTTTTACATTTATCAACGTCCATAGTGTGGTAGAGTAATTAGAGTATTATTATTATAACAGTACCACAGTAAAGTTGTAGAAGAGTTCCTGAACTTATTTT